AATGAGGAAATACCAACAAAATTGTTTTTAAGATGAAGCCACAGATTTGGATTTAGGATTATGCCATGGAGATCTGACCTTAGCCCAGTGCTGTCCAACATTTGTTTCTAGTGATTTATGCTAACATGGCCTCTTCTCAACACAATGGGCAGATGAGAGCAGGAATGGTAAGAAGGCCAGGCTACTGTTTACAGATTGCCTGGTGAGATGGTCAGAATCCATCTGAACACATTCTGTTAACCTGCTTGTCCTTAAAAGTCTATGGGAAACTGATTTCCAGGGAACAAATTTTGACGTTTGTAAAAGGAAGGCACTACATCTTGTGGAAAACAGTGTCTACAAGTCAAACACAGAACAGACAGGCGTCCTCTACAGCTCTGTGGGCTGTTCAGCAAGTGATCCTCACTGTCTCTGTCATTATTTCTGTTCCAGCCTGTCTTTCCTAAAATCTGGTAAGACAATTGTGACTCTGCCACACTTTCATGCAGTGAATACCAATCTGTAGCCTTTCTTCTTTACTTTCAGGTAGGCTTTTAAAAAAGGCCAAATCGCAGAACATCAATGATCTCTTTTTCTCACTATCCCAAAGATAATCTTCAAAAAAAGTGTAAAATCTCTTTTACAGTTCCAGAGACAGACACACCTTTTCACTTTGAAAGGACAACGACGATTATGTTTCGAAAATGTTCTCTGGACACAGATCTCCCTTTACCTTTGTCAAGCAAAACCAGACTGAGCAGATGACGCACCTTGAATTTGTACGATTAAAACAAAAGACAGGGAAAAAAAAGTGAAGATATTCTTGCAGGATGGTATCATTTCTCCCCTTCATTCACAGCCCTTCGATTTCAAACAACATAACTAGTGGTTTCAGTAGGAACTATAATTGCAGCATCCTCACAGTCCCATGCAGGCAAAGAGTTTTATTTTTCTTACACCCACAGAGAATTCTGTTTTGTTTTGAACTCTAATTACTCGCACACTTGGCTCCAAACATCAAATTCTGTCTCAGCCATTCAATATCTATTCCACTGGGCTGCTTTTTTTCTCTTACCATTATGCATGCATATTGAACAGCTGGAACCTAGAAAAGGTACAATTAATTATTCTGAAATTTCCCAAAGAATATGTTTTCACTTTTCCTCAATTTGAAATTACTCTTTGGTTTAAAGAAGAAAAGAAAGGAGTGCATCCCATAAAACCTTACGTACACCTCAAAAACTTAATAGAACATTTTAGGTTAAAGAGCGCTCTAATTTTTGAGAGAAGGAGGTTGGTTCAGGCTTGCTTGCTTTAATTTCTTAAATCACATAATGAAGTCCTTGTTGCATCTTGGTGCATGAGAACTAGAAGAGCAGAGGACCTCTATCCCTCAAATACCTAACAAGTTACCAGCCCTGTGAAAATCTACTTGCTGGTTTAGCCTGTAAGCCACAGCTAAGCAAGAATGAAAGAAACACCCAGAAAAAGCAAGAGGCTAAAGGGCAACACCTGCAACGTAGTCACAAACTAACAACTGGGTTTAGGGCAGATCAGAGTATTGGGACAAGGCAAAGAGCAGAGATTTCTAAATATAAGCCTGACCAGGTGGAAAACAGTCAGGCATGAAGGAACACTCACAGGAGGACAGAGCCTTGCTGAAGGTAGATGGGTCAGGATCCACCATGGCTTTTGATGGATATAGATGGGTCTGGATCTGACCACAGTTTTAATACTCGGTCCACAAAAAACCATCAGAATTACCTTCAACTGCCACCCCTGGAAAAATCCCCGATGCAAAAATCCAAACCAGTATCTGCTTTGCGGAAAAACACCCTATCCAGTGCTCACTGAAGAGAAACAAGCTATAGAATAAGATATAGGACGTAATGGTTCAGGGCATATGGATCGTTCAGCAATAGCTGTTGAGGGCTACAATTGCAGCGCCAGTACCAGCCCTGGATCTACGCAAAGAAGCAAAGGACTAACACATCTGACAGGAAGAGTTTCAACACCGACAGTGCAGAGAGCCTTTAGAGAAATCCTACTTCTGTTGGATACTACTTCTGCTGGCTAAGCTGCTAATTTAGCACTCTGCCTGTCCAACCACTCACGGATATATTGAGCTGAAAGGCTTCCTCTCTCGCTGCTCACCTCTCTTCACAGGAGTAAGCAGTGATGCTCAGCATGCCCAAGACACAAGCCCAGAGCACCAGCACTGGCACTTTAATAGGACAGCCACGGACAGCTGACCTCCACAGAGCATTTGCAAGGTCCCAGCTGGACTGAAAAAGTGGTGTGTCTGGCTAAAACACACTCAACAACTGAAGCAATGAGTTCACGTAAAAATGCTGCCTATTACACCCTCAGGCACAAACGGGAATGGGTTTAATTAGTGTCTGTACACATGCATGAAACTAAGCTATATCTAAATTTTACAGCAGTACCCTGAAAATAAGACAAGGCGTTTACGTACGCATCTGATGTTCCCTAAATCAGCTTTTGGTTCTCAAATATGCCCTTGTAAGAATAACTTGACAGAAATATATGGTCACTGTTAACCATGAGATGCAATAGGTAGATTCTTTTTCCCCTTACATGTCATTTGTTAAATCAGCATGATAGTTTAACACACACTTTTACAATCCCATATCAAAACCCAAAACTAAAATGAAAGTAGAAACTATAAACTCTCAGAAAGATACATTCACTTTACATTCAGAAATGTATTTCAAAATAAAGAGTGAAATCTCCTTATTTTTCATATGTGACCATCAGCATCCTGCAGTAAGCAATAGAATCAGATAATCTGCATCAGTCTGGGTTTAACTCAACAATATCAACATAACATTTTTACCACTTTTGCAAAAACAATCTGTTCCACCAAACACATCTTACAGTAATAAGCTTTCCAATTTTCCAGAGAAAAATGCTTTTCAGGGAATCAGAGAGTGAAAGAAGGAAGAAATACATTACGGTTAGAAATCTATTACTTCAACCTTCCTCAGCAAACAAAATCCTTTCAGTGTAGGCAAGTGAGTTCCACAAGTAGCAAAGGAACCTTTCTACGCCTACACAAAAGGAAGAAGTCCCTCATCTCGACTGGATCAATAAATGTGAATTGCACATAATATATAATGAAGTATGGCTCTGCCTTAAGTTTCTTCTTTATATGACACAGAAATGACCTAATATCTGGACTTTTTTATGGAAGAATGTCTAGTTGTATCCAAATATCTAGTTTTTCCTACATTAAAAAAAAAGGAACTGAGATCAGATATATGAAACCTTGGCTTCCCATTCATACTGGGGAATTACAGCAAGATATTAACATGAATTTCTCAATTTATGAAATGGAGGAGATGCCATTAACTCTTTCACACAGACAGTTCACCTTGTCAACTGTTTGATGAGTCTTTGAGTTCAACAGATTTAAGAAAAACAAAAGAAAAAGATGATAAAGCACTAGGCACTGTGACAAAACATCCTCTGCCTCTCTATTGCAACCTGACAAATCTGTAACTCTGATTACAGTCTGAGTTCCACGTCATTATTGCAGTATTTCTCTAGATAAGCCTTCCCAAAAAGAAGAGGCTTTAGACCAGCCATGTCTAATGCAATAGGCAAGCAGAATTAATATAAGGAGCTGTCACCACACACCCTGAACCAAAAACAGGAGGCAGATGAACATTTCTTTTTGTTTTGCAATTAATTTAAAATAATATGTGATGAGCTCTGGTCTGGTAAAGCTCCTACTCCTCCTTGTTGGTAGATCCCCAAACTCCACAAGCTGAAGCACTGACAAATTTTGCTGTATTTCTACATGCATTACAGTGTGAATCACAGTTAGACCATGCTCAGAAAGAAATGTTCCTTGTAGGGGGTGTGGAAACAGCTAATTTGGTGAAAAGCTGTTATGCTAAGACCATCAACCAATAATTTTATTAGTGTACTATTATATCAGAATTCCTGACATGTTTAGGTGGCACATAACTTCTGTGAAGGCATCACCTATTTGAGGAATTGATTATTAAGTTTAATTAATTAGAAAACTCTCAAAACAACATTCAGAAAATTTATTCCTGATCCTTTCTATGACACCAGTGGGCAGATCTTTACAGGGGCTGTGCAACTAAGAATACCCAGCTGACCCAGGAGATGACAGGGCATTACTATAACCATTATTCAAATTGGTTATTAGCTCATTACAAAGTGTTCCCCAAACCTGGCAACTGCTGCTCCAGAGGTTAGCATGGAATACATGCGAGACAGTGATGCCAAGCCACTCAAGCCAATATGGCTTTAGCCTCTTGCTTAAAGACTCACAAACAATGAAAGGATTCACGACAATAAAATACTTGATGTTGCTAAAGACAGCTTGAAAGTGCCAGAACAAACCACTTCATCTCATCATGTTTGGAGCACCACTAAAAGGATTCAGTTGTGCTTACTTCTTCTAGTGGAAACCAAAGGCACTCAGCGTCCAAAATGTCCTTCTTTTGTTTCTGGAGCCAAAATGCCAAATACACTGTTTAAAGCTGGCTTCATCTCTACCCCAAGAAGAAGGGACCTGCTGGTCTGTCTTTTTGTTACAAAGCTAACTACACTGTGGAAACTAAGCCATGCAGTGGTGTGGGATCCACAACCACCAAACCTTACATTATGAAAAAAGTGAAACAAACACTCCAAGGAGGAGTGACTTCTGACTCAAAACTTCCCAGAGTGGCCCTAAGCACTCATCAGCAGAAACAGGGAAAGAGTGCTAGTTCAGAAAAAAAAAACCAAAACCAAAAAGCCTCAGTGAATTAACAACAGGTCCAAACCATAATGCAACATCATTTCAGTTGTTTCTTAATATGATCAAGCTCCAATACCACATGAAAAGTCCGAGAAGCATCTACAATGACATTCCATATTCTCCAGAAAAAAGAGGAGGAGGGTGGAGGAAACTGCACAAAGAGACACTAAGCCTTTGTATCAGCCTCTTTTTGGTTGCCCACGCACCGTGCACTCACGCTTACCTGTCCAAGGGCAGGAAGTGCTGCATATGCCATGGGCTGATTCATCATTCCTTTCTGCTTCATGATGAGCATGCGTTTCTGTTCCTCGCTCAGGTGCGCCATCTGAGCCTGCATCTGGGGCTGCTGGGACTGCTGCTGCTGGATGTATGGCATCATGGCATTCTTGCTGGGATTTGCCATCGGTGGGGTCATCCTCTGACTCAGCTCAGCATTGAAATGGGTCAGAGGTTTGGTGTTGCCATAAGAAAGCATATTGGGCTGCTTGCTCAAGGAGTTTGTGACCAGGTTATTTGGCTGCTGACTGATCATGTTCATGTGATTTTGAGGGAGGTAGTTATTAATTGTGGTCTTCTGGGGATTGTTTGCCATAGGAGGCACTATTGGGTTTTGGTTGTTAAAGGCTTGAGGATACATCATTGGACTATTTGGTTTGTCTGCACTGAAGGGTCCTCCGTAGGGACTAGATGGAGGGCCCACAGGTGACCAGCTTGAGGGCTGATTTGGATGCTGCTGCTGCTGCTGCTTCTGCTGCATGAGCTTGGCTCTTTGCTGCTGCTGGGCTGCCATCTGCTTGAGCTGCTCAGCTGGAGACAAGTCAGCGCTCGGCATGTTCACCGGCCCAGGCCCCGGTCCCGCCACGGTGGCTGCTGCTGGGTTCATAAGGTAGCCATTTCCAGAGCGCGCCTGCGTCTGGCCAGGGGTGTGGGCCTGGCTGGGAGTCTGAGGTGACTGAACAACACAGTTTGCTGGTGAGCCGGCAGGGACTGAGGCTGGTGGGGCGCTGGACACAGAAGTTATGCTGGAGGCTGTGGAGACGTTGGAAAACGGAGGACCGGACGAAGACGGCCTCACTTGGGGAGACCCTAGTGGAACATGAGCAAATGGAGAATGAGATGGGTCGCTTTTCACGCTTGAGCTCTCTTGAGCCTCTGTGGCAGGCCTGGGAAATTCTGGCTCCTTCTTCTCTTCAAAGTCTTCATTGAACAGATCTTGTATATCATCCTCTGGAACCGTGTTTGCCAGTTCATCTATTAGCTCCTGCCACTCCTGATCGTTCAGGTTAATGTCTGAGAAGAGCTTGTTCTGATTCGAAAGAGATGTTTCAGAAGTGTCTATGCAGTTGGAGTCATCCAAAGGCTCTTGCTTTAGCTCCTTGTTTTGCAGGATGTTAAAACTATCATCTAGCTCACTGCAGCCATTAACAGGGAGCTTTATCTCGGAAAGCCCACCATTTTCACCCAAGTCTTCTAGACCGCTACTGTGAGTTCCGCTGTTCTGCAGGGGCAGGGGAGCTTTCATGTCAAGCTGGTGAAGAGGAGAAACAGCGGGCAAAGGCAAATTATTGGGCAGGCTGTTGATTGCCTCAATGCCTGGCACATCCTTCCTTGTCCGCTTGCTGGTTGGAGAAAAGCTCCCATCGCAAACTCCATTCTGCTGTTCTCCATTGAGAGGTGAACGAGTGCCTTCTAACTTCCTTTTGACTGTCTCTTGAAGCTTAAAGAAAAACAAGAAGAAAGAAAAAATCAACCATTTGCAGATGCAAAAAAAATTGCTCACAAGCGCTGTGACTTACTCCTCATCAAGCCTACCAGTGACAATAAGTTTTAAAAGCTCTGTTTGGGAAATTTCTTTGATTTCATTCTTATGCCTTAATCAATTTGAAAAGACAAAAAAAAAGAAACAGCCAAACACCTCCACACCCCTCACTCCCCCCCTAACCTTCCCTTGAATAGGAGAGCAGAACTGTAAAAAATGTCTGTGCTTTCTAAGCTACCAGAATTTTAGGGAGCATGTTGGCTAATTCAGCTTTTTGGTGCCTAACAGTGATGAGATTTATGCAGTGCCTAACAAAGAGAGGAATCTTATATTGGACCAAGAAAAAAAATAAAGGGAATCACTAAAATTTACTATTTACTCTGAAATTTTTTTGGTGGAAGTTTCTGGAAGCTTCTTGAGAAATACCTGCAATACAATTGATTGACTACTTGTAATGTGTTGTTGATGCTAAATTTCTTTTAAAAAGTTCATTATCATAGTTTCATTTGATTAGCCCACTGTTCTTGGCTACAAAACATATTGAGAATCAGTTTTAAGGGAGGAAAAAATATATCCACCCTAGAAAATAGAAAGCATTTTGCATGATGTTAACTCCATCAAATAATGAAAAAAAGGAAATTAGCTGTGTGTTAGGAGCTAATGTGAAACATAAATAGCTAACAGAAATGATAGCAAGACAAGTCTCCAGGACAGCAAATAAATTAGAATACAAGAATTTTATAAAAAAAATTAGTGTATTAACATAAGCTTTAATTCAGGCTAAAAGAAGCATGGCAAAGAACTGTAACAAGCTACAGTGCTCTCCTATCACACCAAAGTTAAGTCCTTCACTTACGTACCAGGCTAAAAAAAGCATCCCTCTTCAGTTAAGGCAAAAAACAATAGTGGGGAGGGGAGGAAGCAAAGAGGTCACAGCTCTAGCAAACGCCTTCAGAACACACTCGCATCCTTGATACCAGAACAATAGAATACAACAAACTGAAAGATTTTATCAAATTTTAAAGTATTTTTACTGGTATGAAAGTCCCAGACATGTAGCTCCCACCCCTTCCCTAACCTAGAGGTCCTCAACCTTCTTTCTTCTCACAATCCAAATCCCATTTATTTCTCCCATCCCAAGAGGGCTGGTTCGGCTTTCATCCTATGTGTAAGACAGGCGAGCAAACCCATATCTCGTCCTGGTTTTGGAGGGAGGGGTTCTGAGAAGGCTGTGCCCTTCTCTCTCCCTTCAGGCCCGTGTGCCTCTTTTCAGCACCCAATGCAGAGGGAGATGGCTGACTCACACGTTGCTGCAGCTACAGCTGAACCCATATGGGACACCAAGCTACTGATGTAGTTGCTCCTCTGCAGAGATATGGTCTTTACAACAAAGCAGAAAGGCAAGTCTATGAGTCTAAGCAGACCATCAATTCCTTGATTAGTACTGGAGCAGAAGAGCTTTACCCCGAATCTCTCCCCACCCCTGGTTTCTGGGGGTATAGAAACAGCACGGCTAGTGGTTTGCACCGAGAAGTTCCTCTCCCCTGTGCTGTGGGCTGTGATGGGGAACAAGCCTGCAGCAATGTGGGGGTCAGGAAGGCTGTGAGCTTGTTTTGGGCCTGCCCTGTGTGAAGTCCCCACCGCTGGGCTCCCGCTCCTTTCTCAACCGCAGCCACTCTTGACCTCATGAGCTCCACAGATGCCTGGGAATGGGGTTCTGGCAGCAAATGCAGGCAGAAACACACACTTCACCAGCACTCTCTTTACTAAGGCCTGGTATAGTCAAATTTATCAGCCATAGTCTACAGGAACCCACCAGGCTGCAGAACATGATGTCCTACAGCAGAGCTCATCTCCCTTTGCATGGCAGCAGAGAGTTCTATGAGCAAGAGGTGCTTGCCCAGGGTGGTAATTGCAAGTTAGCAGCCATATGGAAAGCAAGCCAACACCTAGGAACAGTGTGAAGGATCAAAATCAGATCCCACAAGGAGATTTATGATACAGCTCTCACCTCTGCTGCTTTCCTCCCCTAAAAACCTATGTTAGGCTGAACACCAGTGTATGGCATCACAGCTCCCTGCTGCTTTTTGACCAGTGCAAGTGGCATGCCGGGGAACACTGCAGCTTAGTTTGTGTCACTGATCTTTTTATACAACCCTGGTTCAGACCCTGGAGATGAGGAGAGGATGATACAGAATGGCACCACTTCACAAGGATGGCAGCACAGCTCCAGGGCAAGAAAAGAAAGAGCAGGAGCTGGCCTCAAGTGCAGGTGGTCAGTAACACAGTTGATACAATGGGTTAAAACAGCATTTTTAAATGTTGGCCCTAATGGGCTACTCACACAATTTACAGCTGAAATCACCCATGTGAGCTCCTAAGCCATCTCGCCACAAAGTCATTATCCCTGTTTGCCTTCCACATTGCAAAAACATTCATCACATGGCAAGTGACTCAAGACCAAGTTCAATGGGCATGCACACACAAAAATAGGGTTTGTAGAAATATTCAAAATTTGTCATGGCCCTCTGCCCCGAGTTCATATTGATCAAATGCTGAGCTAATGTAAGAACAGGACCTGGTGGCAGGCTTCTAGTCATGAAGTAAAGTTCATATAAGGAAAAGATGTGAAAAAAACTTGCCTTAATGACAAGGCAGGGATTAGTGAGAGTGATTATCTCCTGAGGAATACAAGTGAACTGGCTCCATACATTTTGCAACAGATTGAAGAAATCCTTCAAAAATATTGGTAAGAGTTATAGACTTTCACATGGTTTCACACTTTCGGGTTTCACATCCTTTACTAATTTATCCCGAATCCATCACCTTATTTATACATGAATGTTTACCAAAAGACTCAAAACTATCTAGTGGCAAATAACCAGCCCTAAAAATATCAGTTCCTGAAGTTTCATCATATGTTGGAACTTGGATATCCCCCTGTACAAATGTGCAGTGACTTTAGTGAAAGTAAAGGCAGGATCAGTATATAAATATTAACAATCATGTTATCATGCATTACAACAAAAAGCAGCTAGACATAGCAACTATTTTCCATCCAATATGAAACACATAGAAGTGGTGCCTTGTTGCAAAAAATTAATAAATTAACTTAGACCTATTCTAAGTTTGTAGCTCTACATTATTCTCCTTCAGAGGCTTTAGGATTTGGGGGGTTAGGAGGCACTAATCTTTTTATTTTTTTTTTTTTTTGCTCATTGGAAAACTGTAGGTAGACAGAAACTTAGCATGAAAGGATTATTGGAAGGCAATATGCTGGGTACAACCTTTGCAGGTGGAGAAGCACCTTGGCTTCAGCATTTTGAGGAGGTTGGGAGCCATAACAATAGATGTATCTCCTCTTTTTGCGGTGCAACACATAAATATTTTTATCAAATTATTTCAGTGCAAACATTTATTTTTGTATCTTGATTTAATTCCCAATCACCATGTTAACTCTTGAATGGTTTGAATATCATACACCATATACTGGTAAAGAGTTTGCCCCCACCAGGACTCCACAGGTTCTTAGACTAAACCCCCAGCACTAGCCCTTCCCTCTATAAAAGCAATCCCTGAAGTAAAATATTCTCTTGTAGAGTACACTCTCTCCCCTTAGTACTAGTATATAGTTTGTGCATGTTTTACAGTATGCATCATGAAGATACTAGCAGGAGCTGAGAGCTTTATGTCTAGGAGCAGAAGACCGCTGACGCACAATATAAAAAGGAAAATATCAAAAGAACAGGAAAATATTAAAATAGAACCCCTTGCAGCTTCATAAGCCTTAAGCTTTATTTACAAAAAATACTTGGCTGATGGATCTCCATTTTACAGCACTTTTCTACCCCAAAGCAGAAGACAGTGAAGCAGGACTTGCTATTCCTTATATGCCTTTGGAGAAACTCCAGTTGCAGAGCAAAGAAAGGTCAAACTTTGGCAGGTTGACTTTTTAAATGACTCTGGATTGGAGGAGAGGCAGGGGGACAGAGGCTGTGCACGCAACCACGCAGACACGCGCGGACCTGAATGGTCTGATCCAACCCACCCCGAAATTCTCGGCAGAGCCGCTCGGACACGCCGTGACAGACCCAATAGATAAACAAGAGTGTGTTGAGGCTGTCGGCGGGGCTTTCATCTGTAAGGGGAATCTGCTCCGCTTCATCTCACCAGCAGCAATTCATTTTTCAAAAGAAATGAGACAGAGGTACTGTTGTTATAGCAACAGCCGAGCCACTTGCCGGCCCATCCTCCACCGCTGAGCTGCCTTTGGTGGGCGGCTGTTCCAGTCATCCGTGGGGAGTGACTAGGGCTGTGGTAGCAGACTAGTCCTTTCATTGCTCCTTAAAGAAGAGGAAAAAAAAAGAAAAAAAAAAAAAAAAAGGGGGGAGGTGGGGAAGCCGAGAGGCTAAACTCCCTCTTTCCCGGCAGAGGCTGAGCACTATTCACAGGGTGTAACACAGGTCCACTTCTACTCAGTAAGCCCACAGACAAGGAGGCTTAGGGTCCCTTTTATGGATGCTTTTGTGTACCAGCCACATAGTGGATGTGTTGCCTCTGACTTTCCTCTAACTAAGGCAATTCCAGCCACTTCAGTACAAGGCAAGAGCAACAACTACAAGAGGTCTGGTGTGCTCATTCCCCAGCTCTACTGGAACATGCCCTGCTCTGCAGCTATCTTTGCTCCCGATGGGAAAACAGAGAAACTAGCCAAAGTTCAAAGTCCATCTTCCTCAGAGAATATGCATGTTTACAAACAACAAGGGTTATCATCTTCTCCACATGCTCTTCTGTGACCCCTTCTGTTAAAAATTGATCTTTTCCATTCTTCATGTCGAATTAGTCTAGCCCACTTGCTCAAATGGCTTTCCATGGCAATAATTCAGTCTTGGCCCTTTCTCCTGTGCTTTGACTCTCCCTTCCGTAAGTCTGTCTGGCTTAGCACTTCTTCTTCTGAA